TAGTGCGGGTGTTGAGTAAATAAAATGATCGCTCTATTAACGGCATGTTTGTTTTTTGCAATCCTTGTGCGGAATCTATGCTTTTATTCTTTCAGTCACTGTGATTGGTTTGTCGCGTCATCTTATGAATTTGATGAGAATAATCAACTTGATCACGAAAGTACAATGAATGTTCCTCTCATTGACAGACTTTTTTCATAGTTATTTCATAAAAGCGATACACCACTCTTTCTATGGGTCTACCGGCGCCATAAACCACTTGGATATTAGGAGAAGACTCGAAAAGCTTGTAAATCACGAGCCGTTAGGCGAGTGATTTACAAGCTTTTCTCGTGTTCTCCCAACGTCCCGCGTGGTTTATTGCGCCAGTAAACCCATAGAAAGAGTGGTCTATTGCTCAATTGGTAGATTCTGATAAATCATTTAACTTAAGTTCCCGGGTTTCAGTTTTGCTCGATCGCTCGACTCGCTCGATCGTGAATTGAACTCTTGCGATACTGAAGAAACAGCCGCTCGATGAAACGACTGCATCGTGCACAAGCACAAGCTTACTTTTCTGAAATTTTCCTTTAAGCGTCAGTCTTCTGTTCATTTAAGCTTATTTTACCAAATAACGAAAGAGACAGAAATCATTTTTAAGAGCCACTCAAGTGTTCAAGTCGCGCAACTATTTAAAACGAGATGGAAAGGAAAGCGAAACCCACAAACCTGCTATTGAATAAAAGCATCTCCAACAGCTAAAAGCCAGGGGTGTTTGTTCGCTTTCTTCACTACTCTCGCTTCTTTTTCGGATATTCTTCTTTTCTTTTCCCAAAGAGGCCGTGAAGGACAGAGAGCACAGCCACCAAAAGTTTCAACCATATGCAGTTTGTTTTCAATTCTTTGGAGAACTAATCCAAATTTAAGCTTAACTAACTTTTGAGAAACGCTTCTGCGAGCAAATGTAATTTTCGTTTGTTGTCAGCTTGATATTAAGGTTAACCGAGCAATTTAAAGTTGTTTGTTTGTCAGGCGAGACCGAGAAAAGGTAAACTAACTCACCGCGATCCAAGAAAAAGCTTGATCTGTCGCTTTGTCGGCTTTTTGAATGAACATTTTCGCGCGGTTTATGGTGCCTTTGACTTTATGTGAGCAGGATGAGATTCAACAAATACATCCATCCGATAGAAAGAAGTTAAAAGTCGCGATGTTATAAAAGAAATGGTAAGCATGCAGCGTGCAACTATCGAGTCATGGATGCACGCGGGAAGTTTGCTAAGCACTCAAGAAGCTAGAGTCGCACGAGGCGATCGCCTCGTGCGACTCTAACGCTTCTTTCGTGCTCAGCAACCTCCCGCGTGCATCATAACTCGATAATTGCACGCTGCACGCTTACCATTTCTTAATTGGTGGATGTGGGGTGAGAATGTGGTAGAAAGAAGAACATTTACTCCGGTTGACATCGGGGTTTCTAAAACGTCTGTAGTTAAAAGGCACTTTTATGAACATAACTGCGAAAAGTCAAAATACAAAAGGCATACTTTCAGTCTTTGATCGATGCCAACCCAAGTCCTGTTTTTTTTTTTTTTTTTTTTTTTATTGCAAAACACAGGGAAAAAAAACAACTTACAGTTCAACTACTTACATTACTTA